TAACATTGAAGTAATCTGGGTAATGACCATGTCTGTGTAACTCTGGGTCAGCCTTACCAGCTCTCTCTTCATCAGAGGATTGATGCGGTATACTGTGGGTGAGCTCCTTGACTTAAAGTCTGGGAAATCCCTTGTGATGTTCCCAGAGGTTCTTGAAGTATCAGAAGTTGCAGGTAGGGTCTCTATGCTGGGGCTTAGGTGTATTTTAATAGAGATCAAGTTCTTTAGATTCCTAAAGAGGGTATAACCCCAAAAGTCATAAGAACATTTGGCCTAGAATACTAAGGCTGTCATGTCAGAACTAACAAGGGTGTTTGCCATAATGTTGCCCAAGCCAGGTGTGGTGGCTCAGACCTGTAATCCTAGCACTTTGGAAGGCTGAGGTGGGTGAATTGCTTGAGCTCAGGAGTTTGAGACCAGCCTGAGCAAGTGTGAGACCCTGTCTCTACTAAAAATAGAAAAACTACTTGGGCATTGTGGCAAGCAACTGTAGTCCCCAGATACTTGGGAGGCTGAGGCAAGAGGATCGCTTCCGCCCAAGAGATCGAGGTTGCTGTGACCTATGACACCAGAGTACTCTACCCAGGGTGAGAGTGACACTGCCTCAAAAACAAGAAAAATGTTGCCCAAATCAGTGTCCCATAGCGACTGCATAGCTAAGTAATTTATGGTTTGTGCATATCATAGAATTTTTGTACAGCTATGAATTATATTTAAGTGTTCAAGAATTGGGTACAAGTGATTATAGACTGGATATTAGGTGATGGTAAGAACCTATTGTTAATTTTGTTAGATGTGGTGCCATTTTATTATTCTTTGTCATTTTTTAGTGTTGTAACCTGAAATATTTAGAGCTGAAATTTTATGTCTTTAAAGTAATTCAGCCAAAAACACATCAATGTGGTACTGCGTGCTAAACACAGATGATATGTGCTTGTTCATGTCTCTCCTTTTGTGTGTGTGTATATATATATATTCTTTTTGAAACAATCTCAAGCTGTTACGCTGGGTAGAGTGCTGTGATGTCACAGTTCACCACAACCTCAAACCCTTGGGCTTAAGCCATTCTCTTGCCTCAGTCTCCCAAGTAACTGGGACTACAGGCACCTGCCATAATACTCAACTATTCTGTTTTTGTTGTTGCACTTGTCATTGTTGTTTTAGCTGCCCTGGGCTGGGTTTGAACCCACCAGCCTTGGTGTATGTGGCCGGCGCCCTAACTGCTGAGTTACAGGTGCCGATCCTCTCCTTTTGTATGTTTGAAAAATTTCACAGAAATGTTCAGAATAGTTGTAGATTTTTTTTTTTTTTTTTTTTTTGGAGACAGAGCCTCAAGCTGTCCC